TGACAATGTTAATTCAGCCTTTCCAGGAACATGGGAGTTCTTTCTAGCTTCTAAGGTCTTCTTCAATTTCTTTCTTTTGTGTTCTATAGTTTAGATTGTAGAGGTCTTTCACCTCTTGTCATATTGATTCCCAAATATTTTATTTTTTGAGGCTATTGTGATTGGAGTAGTTTTCCTAATTTCTCTTTCAGTGGATTCATCACTGATGTATAGGAGCACATTTGGTTTATGGGTGTGAATTTATATCCTGCTACTTTGCTGAATTCATTTATTAGTTCTAGAAATTTTCTGGTGTCATTTTTTTGGGTCTTCTAAATATAGAATCATGTCATTGGCACATAGTAATAGTTTGAGTCCTTCTTTTCCTATCTGTATCCCTTTAATTTCTTTCTTTTGTCTAATTGTTCTGACTAGGGTTCAAGGACTATGTTGAATCAAAGTGGTGAAAGGGGACATCCCTGTCTTGTTTCAGTTTTTAGAGGGAATGCCTCCTCCATTTAGAATGCTCTTCTCCATTTAGAATGATGTTGGCATTGTATTTGGCATATATAGCTTTTACAATGTTGAGGTATGTTCCTTCTATCTCTAGTTTTTCTAGTGTTTTGAACATGAAGTGGTGCTGTATTTTGTCAAAGTTTTTTTTGCACCTATTGAGATGATCATATGATTCTTTAAGTCTATTGACGTGATAAATTACATTTATTGATTTTCATATGTTTAACCAACCTTCCATCCCTGGGATGAACTCCACTTGATCATGGTACACTATCTTTTTTTATATATAAATAAATCCCACTGACTTTTTTTTAAATAAACCTTTATTTTATTTATTTTTTTATGTGGTGTTGAGGATCAAACTCAGTGCCTTGTGCATGCAGAGCAAGCACTCTACCAACTGAGCTATATCCCAAGCCCCTACACTATCTTTTAAATATGTTTTTGTAAGTGATTTGCCAGAATTTCATTGAGAATTTTTGCATCTATGTTCATCAGGGATATTGGTCTGAAGTTTTCATTCCTTGATATGTCTTTATCTGGTTTTGTTATCAGTATGATACTAGCTTCACAGAATGAGTTGAGAAGGGTTTCCTCCTTTTCTATTCATGGAATAATTTGAGGAGTAGTGGTGGTGTTAATTCTTCTTTGAAGGTCTTGTAGAATTTGGCTGAGAATCCATCTGGTCCTGGGCTTTTCTTAATTGGTAGGCTTTTTTTGTGTGTGTATTATTATTATTATTATTATTATTATTTTATGAAAGTTTATTAAATTTACAACAGACTCCAACATAACACTTCATTCTAGCTATAGGTGACAAAAGATGTTACAGCGGGGATCCAGATGTCTAAATAGGAATGGATCAACAGTCACCATCATTTTAGGCACAAGAATTGGCTTACTTTTTGCCAGATTTCTTAATTCCACCTGTGGCTAGGGGGCCCTTCCCCGCGGCCTTTGCTTTTAGCTCCTCAAGTTTCTTCTGCTCCTCTTTTTGTTTCTGTTTGAAAGCCTTATCTTCCTCATCCATCTCTTGGCCTGCTTCTTAGGTTGTTTCAGAGGCTTCTTCTTGCCACCTTCCCAACCAGACATGGCTCCTGCCGCCCCTACCCCAGACCTTGCTCCTCAATTGGTAGGTTTTGATGGCATCTTCTCTTTCTTTGCTTGAAATTGGCCTGTTTAAATTGTGTATATCTTCCTGATTCTGTTTGGGTAGGGAAGCCAGGTGGGTTTCTGTGACCAGTATTCCCCTCTGTAAATCTCTTTCCATTTCTCCTGGTCACTTAGGTACACTCTCTGTCATACTGCTGTATGAGTTTGGCTATCTTGTTTTTCAGGCCAGACTTTGGTCTGCCAGTAATTGGCTTCCCCAGCTGCTAGCCCCTTGTGTTACAGCTACAAAATGGTTCCTTCTGCTGTCCTCTGTGCACACTGCCAAGAGAGATGGAGCTTTCCTCCCATTCCTGGATACTGTGCAGCACAGCTCACTGTTTTCTCTAGCAGTATCTGATCTCTAAACTCTCTGTACCCCAACATGCCTCAGGCTTCCTGAGAATGGGGGTTCCTTTAATTCCTTTATTGCTTTACTGCGTTCACATAGGGACTATTCTCGTTTGCGTCTTCAGCCACTGTCATGGCTATGGGGGCTGATCCCCCTTATTTTATTATACAAGATCTCCTGAGTCCCTGATCTGTTTTGAGTGACCAATATTAAATTCCAGTAAAGTCCTCCTAATTCTTTTTTTTATATTTATTTTTTAGTTTTTTAGGTGGATACAATATTTTTATTTATTTATTTTTATGTGGTGCTGAGGATTGAACCCAGTACATCATGCATGCTAAGCAAACACTCTACCACTGAGTGGTAGAGTAGCCCTGTCCCCCTAATTCTTGATCATTCATCCACCTTGCCGAAAAGCTGCCTGTTTGCTTTTCTTGGTTCATGCCACTGAGCCACTAGGGAAACAACCCCTCTATTCCCCCATCTTGCCCCTAGGAATTTCACTTCTTTTTGTTATTGTTTTGTTTTGGTACTGGGGATTGAACTCAGGGGCACTCAACCACTGARCCACATCCTCATCCCTTTTTTTATATTTTATTTAGAGCCAGAGTCTCATTGAGTTGCTTAGCGCCTTACTTTTTGCTGAGGCTGGCTTTGAACTCATGATCCTGCTGTCTCAGCATCCGGAGCTACTGGGATTACAGGCATGTACAACCGTGCCTGGCAGAATTTCACTTCTAAGAGTCCATTCTGTGATATATGTACAACTTCATTGTAGCATTGATTATAATAGCAAAGAAAATGAACCACATAATGTCCATTGATATAATGTAGATTAAATAAGTGTTGGCTGTTTTCATAGTGTTAACCTTACAGCATTAAAATATTCTGCAATAGAAAAATAACCAGCATAGCTTGATAGTGAAAAAGTCAAGTCAGAACAGTATGAAGAATATAATCCTATTTGAGTAAAAAACAGAAACAGATGCATATCCCTAATCCCCCCTATGTAAACAACTTTGGCAACCCTAGTTGCCAAATACTCTCCTAATAAAAGAACCAATGGGGCTAGGGATGTGGCTCAGCGTTAAAGAGCTTGCCTAGCGCATGTAAGACGCTGGGTTCAATCCTCAGCACAACATAAAATTAAATAAATAAATAAAGGTATTGTGTCCAACTACAACTAAAAAAATATTTTAAAAAGAAGAACCCATAATTCCAGTAGTTTACTATTAGTGATAGTCATATTAAAGGAAAATTTAGCAGTGAAAATAATAAATTCTGAGCAGTGTGTACACTTCTTCACCCTCTGATGCACAGACCCATTTCTGAGGTCAGTAAAAATAGAACATCCCAAAGAAAACCCACCCAAGTAAACTCTTGACATTTCAGGCTCATTGTCCATTGTCTTTGTATACAGATCATGTTTTAAGTATCATATTACAGGTTTCCTCATAATTTTATACTCTTAGCAACAGAAAGAAGAAAATAAATTCTTTTTTCATCTGTTATCCAAATGCTTCAAGTCAATACTTTACATTAATAATGCTTGGTCTTATTAAAAGCCCTTTATTATACAGTTTTATATGATTATCATAGGTATAAAGATTGAGTGGGGTTGTTTAGGATAAATAGTGGGAATTTTAGAGTTAAACAGATCAAAGTTTAAATTCTGGCTTCCCTATTTGCTATCGGTATGCTGTTGTGTAAGTTACAAAAACTCCCCAGGCCTCAGCTTTATCATTTGTAAAATGGAGTGATAATATATTTTTTAATTATTTTATTTATTCTTTTTAGATATATATGACAGTAGAGTGTATTTTGACATATTATACATACATGGAGGATAACTTATTCTAATTAGGATCCCATTCTTGTGGTTGTACATGATCTGGAGTTTCACTGATCGTGTATTCATATATGAACATAGGAAAGTTATGTCTGATTCATTCTACTCTTTCCTATTCCCACCCCCACTTCCTTTATTCCCTTTTTTTTTTTTTTTTTTTTTTTTTTTTGCTACCAGTGATTGAACTCCAGGGCACTCAACCACTGAGCCACATCCCCAGCCCTATTTTGTATTTTATTTAGAGACAAGGTCTCACCATTACTGAGGCGGGCTTTGAACTCTTGATCCTCCTGCCTCAGCCTCCCGAGCTGCTTGAATTACAGGTGTGTGCCACTGCACCCAGCTCCTTCATTCCCTTTTGTCTAATCCACTGAAGTTCTATTCTTTCCTCCCACTCCACTCCCTAGAGTGATAATATTCTAATAATATTGTTGTTGTAAGGATTAAATGAGGTTTTTTATATATAAGGCATCTAACAAACTTTGTGGTACATGAAAGGTGCTTAAAAAGCCGGTAGCATTACTATTATCATCCTCATTTTTTACAGCGATTCATTCAACATCAAATTCTTGTTAAACATCTCATATGTTCCAGGCACTGTACTAGATGTTAGGGATATAGTGGTAAAGAAGAAAGACATTGTCCCTATCTTCATGTCACTTAAAGACTAGTAGGAGACATAGTCAAGTTTACAGGTAATTACAATAGATTGTGAAAAGTATTGTCATAGGGAAAGAATAATGCCTGTGATCTCAAAAGGGACACATACCCAAATTTGGATACCCAAAAGATTAAGTAACTGACTCCAAACTACACAGATGACAAAGTAGGAGCCAAGATAGGAGCACACCTCTTCAGAACTCCAAGCCCACTTCATCATGCTTCCTCTGTTATAGTCAGCAAATTAAATCTGGCTAGTGTGATACTTTTCATTTACAGTGCCATCATCTATTTCAGGAACATTATGTGACATATGAAATTCTGAAGAAAGTGAGCCCCTTAGAGGCTGAACTTATTAAAGATCCTAGCATGAAGTGTAAAGTCAGATTCAGGTAATGTGTCTATGCTGATTTCTCTCAAAGAATACTTAGTTAATAAGGAGAAATTTCAGAAATTAATTTTTTTAAATCCTCATAACTTCCCAGGATATAATTACAAAGTAAATGTGTTGTTTTTATTTGCATTTGTCATGTGAAGAAACTACGGCATAACTGTTTCACTAAAAGTTGTCATGAGGGTAGCACTCATCTCCCATTCAGTGTCCATTCTGACAGTATGAGAATAGTTGTGAGCACCCCAAAGTGCTGAGTCTCTCATCATCTGCAGTTTATTTCATTACTAGATTATTGTATGCTGTTGGCATAGCCTTTACCCTATATTCAAAAGACTATATGAACTATCTGAAGTATGGGGGGAGAAGTAATTGAGCCCCAAAACTGATGGTAAATGACTTATTTTTGGTCTTTATTTCAGATTTAGTGGTGAAAGGTTTCCACCTTTTATCGTTTTTAAAATTTTTCTGCATACTGAAGGCCGTGGTTACAAGTATTTCAGTGGAAAAAATTTATTACAGCCATCAAATGAGGTGATGTTTCCTGATGTACATTTTATGTTAATTTAGCTTCTTATCATCTATGTGTGTCTGAATTGCATTCAAAGTGTACAGACTAAGTTATTTGGACATTAAACAGCCCACTGAGCAGTTAGCATTTTTTTAAAGCACCATGTTTCCAAGTATCTCCATTTATTAGCTAAAAAAATCATTTGGAATGAATTACTTATATAAGGCTATAGAAAATATCCATCAATTTTCTTTGTATTAAAATTTTTGTTGGTTAATATGGACTAAAGCAGTCTATTGGTCAGTACTTATACAGAATGTTTGATGAGATTTTGTTTGTTTTAATGAAATGTTATTCTTTCTTTGATCCTAGTAGCATATTTTTAAAAAATGTGCTGGACTATACTGTTGAAAATGAACTTTTAAGATATTTATTCCTTTTTACACGAGTTCTTATCTTACTTTTACATTTCATGAATAGTCACTACAGCACAGGAATCATCTGGGGATCTTGTTAAAATCCTGCCACTGCTGCTGTTCAGTGGACCACACTCTTAATAATAAGGATCTACAGTAGAGGTTTTACTTCTCTGACCCTTATACCTGACTATATTTAATTGGTTTTGGAAAAAGGTTCAGTTTTCATATTTAACCTTTAATAATATTATACATCAAAGGTTAATTTCCTGGGCTGGGGGTGTAGCTCAGTGGTAGAGCACTTGCTTGGCATGTGCAAAGGCATGGATTTGATCCCCAGCACCATACACACATAAAAAACACCTACTGAAAATATTTCATACAAAAAGTGCAGCCTGTCTGAAATTATAAGTTCTAGCATATGTTCAGGAGAGAGGACCATACAGCCTGACAGCTTCTCTGATCAAATCCAGCATATGTGGTATTCAGTCCCTGAAGAGCATTAGAAAAGGAGCAGGGCTGCTTTGTTCCATGTTTTCAGACAATATCAGAGAGTAACGAACTCTATTTCAGAAATGAATTTAAATGGACTACATATTTTCGTTTAGGAAAATGGTATTTCAAAAACATTAGTATTTGTTCATTTACATAGATTGACTTCAGAAGGGAAAGTATATGTTTATCTTACATTTGAGAGATAAATTCGTGCCACATTCATCTATGGAGTAAGCTGATATTTGTCTCTATAAAATATTATCAGTTGTTTCTTCTTTGAGGTTATATAATGGGGCTTTTCCAGGAACAGAAATTCTCCTGGGTCAGTTCCTGCAAGCTCCTGCTGTGCCTTGGCTTGAGAAAATGAGAACCTTAGAGGCAGTGACTGGAAAACCCTATGTGTACATTAATACTCATTAGAATGCTGTGTAATTACTTCATTAAATGTTTTTGTTTTATTTTTGTTGCTTTCTTCACTCTCTGATAAGGAAATAATTTTTGAAAAAAAGGAAGTGATTGTTGGAAAAAAGGAAATAGCCCAGAGATTTAAAAAAGAAAATATGTATTTATGCCTTTTTTTCTTTGCTATCACTATCATTTTCGTGGAATAGTCACTGTTAGTTTGTTACGTATTCTTCATTTTTTTCCCTGAAAATATTCACACAAAGAGGTTGTATAATTTTGTTTGTTCTTATTGTAAAATGTGATCATACTCTTCTTCTTGAGTGTTTCACTAAGTATTATAATGTGCTTTAAGTGATCTACCCAACTTCAAGGGAACAGTTTGGGTTTCCCTTGTCCCTTTTATTCAGCTTCAAAGCAGACTCAGTAATACTTAGATTCATGATTGATAAAAAACAAATTTGCAAAAGTGAAATTTTTCTCACTTTAAGGTTACCCACCTCCTTTGTTCTTTGAACAAAGGTATTCTATTATATCTTTAGCAAACCTATCCAACTCTTCAAAGTTTTATCATTTTTGCCAATATTGGGAGTAGAATCCAGGGGTGTTTTACCTTTACCTCTGAGATATATCCCCAGCCCTTTTTATTTATTTATTTATTTATTATTTTGATACACTGTCTCACTAAGTTGCCGAGGCTGACCTTGAATTTACAATCCTCCTGCCTTAACCTCCTAAATCACTGAGATTACAGGTGTGCACCACCATGCCTGGCTAAGTTTACCTATTTATTAATATGAATCAAATGAGTTGGTTTTAGTCCATTTAGATATTTCATAGTCTAAGTTCACTTATGTAGAATTTCACACATTTTTGGTTTTCCATCTTTTTTTTAAGGTGGACACAATATCTTTATTTTATTTTTTTATGTGGTGCTGAGGATCAAACCCAGTGCCTCATGCAATCTAGGCAAGCACTCTACCACTGAGCCACAACCCCAGCCCTGTTTTCCATCTTTTCCTCCTTATTTTCATTTCTAGTTTCCTTTCTTGTTATTTTCCAATTGCATTTCTTATATATTCACAAAAAAATAAGCAAAACAGGTGGAAGGATATAGAATAGTGTAAACAACTTTGAAGAACAACAAAGTTAGAGGATTTACAGTAACTGATTTAAGTCTTATAAAGCCACAGTAATCACGACAGGGACCTAAAAATAGGCATATAGATCAACAGGCGAAAATAGAAAATTCAAAGACAGACCCACACATAAATGATCAATTGATTTTCTTCAAAGGTGCCAAGACAGTTCAAATGGTGCTAGAACAGTTGGATAGCCATGTGTAAAAAAAGATCTCATTTCAGCTGCCCACTTTAATGATCTATTTTCTGAGCAATGCTTATGTACAGAAGGTCAGTATTATTGTTAGTCCACCAGACAATATTTTAAAGCCTTGCTACTCAAAGTATGGTCTCCAGTCCCACAGCACTGACATCCATTGGAGCTTGTTAGAAATGCAGACTCTAGACCCTACTCCAAACCCCCTGAGTGAGCATCTGCATTTTAGTAAGGCCCCCAGGTAATCCTATGCACCATACAGCTTGACAGCACTGTCCTAAAAGTGCCTTCCATTTCTTCCTATAAGGAAGGACTTTCCTGAATTTGTCCAGAGACAGGAGATGTCTGACAAAGAACATCTTGGCCTTTGGACAACAAACTTTTTTCAAACCCTTCTCAAATGGGAAGAGGGCTTGCCCTATGCTGCCAAGCATGTTTTACTTTGGCCAAGGGACTGGAATGGTACAGACACAGATGAACCACACAGTTGAGGCACTGCACAAATAAGGAAATTGGGGATTGGAGAGATAGATGGTGGTGGCTGAGTGGGGCAGTGGAGGGAGGAACTGACAATAAATAACTTTTCTAAATAATTTGAGCTAATATAAAATATACTTTTGCCTTAAGAAATTCCTAAAACAGAAATTACATGGTTTCCATACATGTTCAGTATAAACTGATATATTTTTACCTTTAGTGTCACTATAGGACTGGTTAATTAGAACTCACAGAAAATAAATTATAAGGAAGCAAAATGGAGAGATATTCCAATATTGATTTTTTTCTTTAGATGAATAATGTATTAAAAAATTAATGAAATGGAAAGTAAAAATGACCTACCTATATAGGAAGTCCCCATGTCATATTTTCACTAAACTGTTTCTGTCCCTTCAATTTATTGCATTAGAAATAAAACTACTACTATTTGGATATTTTCTTCTTTTTTCACTTTTCATATGTCTTAAGAGCTTGGGAATTTAAAAAAAATAAGCAAAAAGGATTGTGGGTAATAATAGAATTGAAGTAGAAAATACTTGAAGGTGACAGGGGTGTGGTGGTGCATGCCTATAATCCCAGCTACTTGGGAGGCCAAGGCAGGAAGTTTGGAAGTTTGAGGTCAGCCTGGGCAATTTATTGAGACCCTGTCCCACAATTTTAAAAAATAAATAAAATAAAAATGGCTGGAGATGCATCTCAGTAATAGAGCACCCTGTGGTTTGATCCCAGTGGTGGTGTATGTGGAGGAACTAGCTGTTACGTAATGTGCTAAGTAAAAAGAACAGATTTTTTGGGTTTTTGATCTTGTCCCAACCACTCTTTTTAAGGCCTTCTATCGGCATTATAACAGAGTTCCCATACTTTCATAATACATTCTGAGATACGAAAGGAATGAGAAACTGATCTGGAATCAGATAGTGGGAATATTCTTCTGGGCCAGCCTTCCTCTTCATAAGCAGACCCTTTGTGACCAGAAGCACAGATCCAGAATATAAATATATGTTAGAAGAGTTGGCACATTCTTAGGGAGGGTGGGAAGCACTTAAGTCTGTCTTCCCAGTGTACATATACCCCTTAGCATGAGAATAGATGTACAAGAAAAGGTATGATGCAAATAGAGCCAGACAGCATTTGAGACTGTATGTTCTGTGATTCTTCTTTCTCTGACCTCTCAGGTGCTTTCCTTGAATATAAACTGTTGACATTTGAGAGAGAAAGAAAAATCCTTTATTTGCTTGTCTTTGGCTACTGAGAATGAAATCTGAAAGAAAGGAAGGCCTAAACAATCTGATGCCTACATGTTTCCATTCGGGGGCAATGTATTAGTTAACACATAAAAGAGCGTCAGTCTTAGTAACACCTTTCATTGCTAAGGCAACCTATTTAATAGCCAGCTAAGTTTTCTCTGCATTGACAGCACAAATGACATTGTAGATTTGTTTTGTTAAAGGAAAATAAGGTTTTTTAAGGGGAAAAAGCAGATTTAAAAAAAAAAAACTATCCTCTAAGAATTGTGGACTCCGGCTGGGGTTGTGGCTCAGTGGTAGAGTGCTTGCCTCACATGCATGAGGCCCTGGGTTCGATCCTCAGAACCACATAAAACTAAAGATATTTTTAAAAGTCTTAAAAAAAGAATTATGGACTCAAATACTCCTCTAGCTACGTTTTAAAATTGTATAGGTATGGCTATGGAACAAATTTTAAGTGGTTTTAAAATTTCTATATGCTCCTCTTTATAAAGGTAGCCTTTCTATTCAGTAGCAAGCTGCTAGGAAAAATGAACCATGTTTGATATATAATTGTTAGAAAAATATGTGTAAAATGTGTGCTGATCATTAAAGGTATTATACTAGTATTTTTAAAAATCTGTTTCCTGTTCTTTCCTTAGGCAATGGTTGATGCTTGCAAGATAATGGGGAAAAAGAAATTTTATCAACAAATTATGGAAGATGAACATATTTTCCAGAAGTTCAAAGTAACTGATCATGTAGATATTGTGACCATGCAAGATTACATGCAGGTAAGGAATTTAGATGTTGAAAAATATAAACAAGGGCTGAGGTTGTGGCTCAGCGGTAGAGTGCTCACCTCGCTCGTGTGAGACCCTGGGTTCGATCCTCAGCACCACATAAAAAAATAAATAAGTGAAATAAAGGTATTGTGTTCAACTACAACTAAAAAATAAATATTTTTTAAAAAAAGAAGTGTATAATTCAGAGGCATTAAATATAGTCACGGTGTTATATAACTATCACCACCATCTAGTTCCAGGATTTTTTCATTTCCCCAGAAGGAATCCAATAAACATTCACTCTCCGTTATTCCAGCCCCTGTGAACTACCAGTCTGCTTTCTGGCTCCATGGATTTGCCTAGTATAGATATTTCGTGTAATATGATATAATGTCCTATGTGGCTTTTTGGGTCTGAGAAGAGATAATAGCTAAGGGATATGGTGTTTCTTTTGGGGGTGATAGGAATATTCTGGAATTAGAGGCAATGGTTTTGCACGTTGTAAATATACTAAAAACCACTGAATTGAGCTAGGCATGGTGGCCCACACCTGTATTCCTAGTGGCTCAGGAGGCTGAAGCAGGAGGATCTCAAATTCAAGGCCAGCCTCAGCAACTTAGCAAGGCCCTAGTCAGCTCAGTGAGACCCTGTCTCAAAATAAAAAATAAAAAGGGCTGAGGATGTGACACCCCTGGGTTTAATCCCCAGTACCAAACAAACAAACAGAAAACCCCACTGAGTTGCACACTTTAAAATGGCTTAGTGACTTTTATGGGCTGGGGTTGTGGCTCAGTGGCGGAGCATTTGCCTCGCACAGGTGAGGCTCTGGGTTCGATCCTCAGTACCAAATGCAAATAAACAAAAATCACTTGGCGCTAGAATAGTAAATGATGGGGATTTGACCTCATAAGGAAGGGTTCTCTTATTTTCTAGAAGCTCTCTGCTACAGTAACAGAATATTCCCAACATAAGACACTTAAGTAATAAAGGCTATTTATTGACCTGTGAAAGAAGTCTTCAGATAGGTGGTTCCAGAGCTTGCTAATTCAGTAGCTCAAGGATATCAGGGTTCTGGGTCAAGGATATCAGGGTTCTGGGTCAACTACTCTCTGATCCTCTTGGCTTCTTCTCATGGTAACAAGAATGATAATCATATTCCCCCTCAGTTCCATTTGAAGAGAAGAAGATAGGAATTCCTGGAATCTTCATCTCAAGAAAGAAAATCTTTCCCAGAATTCCCAAACAGATTTCTCAGGTCCCATCGGTTAGAACTCTCCCTAAACCAATCACTGATAAAAGAAAACAGCATCCTTTCCCACAATTGAGTTAAAACAGTCATGGTGCATATGCTGGGGCTCTCCTTCCCAGAGGATATTGCTATTCCATATCTGAATAAAACTGGGCTTTATGAGCAAGAGAGATGTGGGAAATGGTTGTCGGACAGATAATTAATAATGTAGGGAGTGAGCAGGTGGCAACACTCAGGCAAAAGCTCTGTGGCAGGAGGAGCTGCAAGGCTCCAAAACAGGTCTGTGGGGTTTAAAAAGAGCATACAAAGGGTGTGGCATGCAGGCAGGCTGCAGGGTGATAAAAGATCATGCGGGGCTATAGACAATGGTAAGGTTGTTGTTTTTTTTCTTGTTTATTCTGTGTGCAATGAGAAGCTGATGTAGTGTTACAAGAAATAAGGTGATCAAATCTAATGAGTGATATAATCACTCTGGCTGCAGCATAAAGAATGAATTAGAAGGCAGCAAGAGTCCTTTATTAGCCTGGAGGCTCCTGAGTATTCTAGGAGAAATGGTGATAACGTGGTTTAAAGTCTGAGTCTGGAGATGAAAGAGATAATTAGAGAAAAAGCAGTTGTCCTGGGTGACAGATACAGAAGGAAGCTAAAGGAAGGTATTCGGCATGACTTCTAGGTTTCTGGTTTGTCTAACTGGATGGATAGCAGTGCTGGATCAGGGCGCTTAAATTACGTACCTGAATAATAATAACAGAAAATGCTTCTGTAGCACTAATTCCTTTTATTCTCATAACAATACAAAGAGGCAAGTACTGTTATTATCCTCATTTTGCAAATTCTAAATAAACAAGGGACTACAAAATTATGGCTCATAATAATGATAATATATGGCCTTAGCTCTGCACTCAGTTGCTTCAATGTAAAACATGAAATTAATACAGTGCCTTAGAGACTTCTTGATGATTTTTTTTCTTTCTTTCTTTCTTTTTTTTTTTTTGGTACTGGGGACTGAACTCAGGGGTACTTTACCACTGAGCTACATCCACAGCCCTCTTTATTTTTTTAAGAGCTAACCTACGAGATAGGGAATTGGATCAGGAAATACATAGTCAGAGGTGCCAACTATCTTTGCTAAGAACATGGGTAACATACTTGGAGATGTGACTATGTCAAGGATTGGTGTCATAGCTCTCTATAAATACCCAGATAGACATATTGGAAAAGAGAAATAAGATGATTGCAATCATTTATTGAGCTCCTATGCATGGCATTGATTTTTAGCTCTTTACTAGTATGTTATCTCCTTTAATCTTCAGGTCTGTAAATCATGTGACCCTTTGTTTGTTTGTTTGTTAAATATTTTTTAGTTGTAGATGGACATAATACATTTATTTACTTTATTTACGTATTTTTATGTGGTGCTGAGGATGGAACCCAGGGCCTCGCATGTGCTAGACAAGTGCTCTACCACTGAGCTACAACCCCAGCCCATCATGTGACCCTTTTTATTGTTTTTTTTGTTAATACTTTTATTAGCTATCATTTACATACTATCTCTGTATAGATTTTAAGTAGAGTTTAATACTCTTACTATTTTCAGAAAGTTGTGGAACCTCAACTACAATCAGTTTCAGAACATGTCATGTGACCCTTTTTATACATGAGAAAATGAGGCTTAACAAGGTTCAAAAAACTTGCCCAAGGTCACACAGTGAATAAGTGACAGAGAATATCATTGACAGCTCTGTGACATTCACTTATCTTACTACTCTACTCTTGGAAAATAAAATAAACATGCAGTCTCACCATGCATGGTAGTGTGTAATCATAAAAATGACAATGCAGACTATAATCATGCAAGGAAAACTTAATCAATGGGGAAAATTGTGATTGTCCCATGACCTACAAAATTTTTTGTCAGAACATTAAAATCTTTCCCTTACTATCATAGAGGAAAATGAAAGGAAAAAACCTAACACATTTAATATGCTATAATTTAAATATTAGAAACATTAAGAATGAAAGTATTTATTTCTTTGTAAAAGCTTACCAACATGAATATACTAACAAACCATTGAATTGTAAACTCTGAGTGGGTGAATTGCATAGTATATGTATCTCAATAAAGTTGTGGAAAATGGACTGGGCATATGCCCAGTCAGTAGTAGAGTGCTTGCCTTGCATGCATATGGCCCTGGGTTTGATCCCCAGTGCCACAAATAAAAGAAAGAAAGCTATGAAAAACAACTTATCAAAAGTAATTTTAAAATAGTGCTTGCCTTCTTGTTTTTGTTGTTTAAGTTTACAATAGGGAGCAAGCATCTTTCATGTCCTGGTGAGTTGTCATACTCCTAAATTTAGATCAACTGTCAACAACATTTTATTCTTTGCACATTATATGTTGCAAAATATGTCAGAGTTCCTTTAATGTGAAGCTGTTTTGGGCCAGCATCACTTACTCTGGGAGAGCTTCATCATTTTCATCATAGCCACTTTCCTCATTTTTGTTGATAAGTTCACCTTCACAAAGTTCCTCTAGGTGCTCATCTGTAGTCTTTTAAATGATGGCAGTGTCAGCATTCCATAGTCACCTCTTTCTTCCAGAACTTCATTTACATTTGATTCCAGTTTCCCTTCCAGTGTTACCACTTTCTGTTTCTTTGCTGGACAATTTCCTCTTTTTTCCCATTTATATTTAAACTTTATTCCTTTAACATATTCACAAAAAAAAATGTCAGTAGAAGAATTAAAAGTTCTTACAATAAATCCATGTCAAAAATAAAACCACAAAATCTTTATACTAATGTAAAAGCTAGGATACAAATTGAGCATTTTAATAATCAGAGTATAAATCAATCTTTAAGACTGACCTTTGTTGCATAGAACATTGAATCATAACAGATCCTTATCAATTACCTTGCTATACTGAAGAAATGGAGGCAGTCCACTTAAGACTCATGTGGGTTCTAGAGCTTAAGGAATAAAATCAAAACAAAGAAACAAATTCTCAAATGCCAAAAATTCTGAAAAGAGCTATTTTTCCTAAAAATCTCTTATTTGAAATCACCTCCTTCTTGCTTACTTTCCTGTTCTTTTATGCAAACAAAGCTAAACATTTTTCTTCTTTCATTTACTTAGTCTTGACAAATTACTCTATTAAAACTTATATAAGGCATTATACATGTACTCTTTTTTTGCATTACAATTCTTAATACACATATATACCACAATTTTTCATATCTCTGTTGTCATGTATTAAATAAATAAATAAATAAAATCATTTTTAAAAAAATAAATAAATAATAACTTTAAAAAACTTATATAAGGCAAAATACTTTAACAAAACAGTACAAAGTTAATTGTATATAGGCTCTTGAATATAATTCACTACAGTCTTCCTGTTACGAGTGAACCTCTAAAAAGAAAGGACATTTTGGTCTTCAGTTGATGATAGATCCTGCTTTTCTCATAATTTTCAGCTTAGAAAATCTCTTGTTGAGTGAAAGCTTAGTCTGATTACCCAGTGCTTGAAAGTTGAAATTCAGGAATATTCCTTTGGGCTGCTATGAGAACTCTTGGTTATATATTTAGTTCTCATTTGGAAAGCTTCAATTCCACGACTCACATATCTTTCATAAGTTCTTTTAGTTTCATTGGAGTTGCACTCATTTTCTGATGTTATCTCTTAATTTATATTCAGTAGGTTATTTGTTATTTCTTTGTTGTACCCGTCTCTGGAAGTATTCGTTCCTTTTTTTTTTTTCCATTGCAAAACTTATCAAACTCAGACTCAGTTTCAGGTGATGATTTGAATCTTCCTCCTGGTAAGCATCTTCAGTAATCTCTGATTGGCCGTAAGATAGCCCTGATTGACCATGACATCCCTCTAATATGACATGATATTTTTCTGAATGACCATTAGATCTCTCCAAGTGACCATGAGATCTCTCAGAGCTACCACAAGATCCCTCCAAGAGACCATGAGATCTCTCTGATTGGCCATGAGATCTTTCTGTGTAGCCATGAGATCTCTCTGATCGGCCATGAGATCTCTCTGATTGACTATGAAATCTCTTGGATTTGCCAGAAGATCTCACTGATCTCTAAGTGGCCTTGATTTCCTTCTGATTGATGCTGTTTCTCCGATTGGTCTTGATTCCTCTCTGATTGGGCCTTATAATTGTCATTGCACTTCTCCTGCTCAATTGAAGGCTTCTTATTCAAGGGCTTTGTCCAGACTTGACTCCAAAAGGTCCTTGTTTTTTTTGTTTTGTTTTGTTTTGTTTTTATCATCATCTCTTTCCTCAAACTTGTTCTGGAATCTCATGCATCCTCTCTACCTGTGATGCCTACCAGCATTTGATAGCCATCTTGAAGCTCCAGTTTTTCTATTGTTCTGTTGTTTATTCTTTTTTTTGTCCTTGCTGGTAGTTTCTACCTTTTTAAGGATTATAATGTCATCTAGAGACATATCCAGAAAAGCCAGCTTTCCCTCATTGTTAGGGTTTGTCGGCACTTTTCCAGAAAATGTTAGATTAGAAACTGTAGCCATCTCGACGTGTCTGCACCATACTCCAAGGCACAGCATCTAATCACCTCTTTTGATTAACCATTTTTGTAAAATGTCACGTGAGTTTATCACTGTGAGACAAACAGGCAACACAATTACATGATTTACTATCTACATGTAAACTCAATACAGATCTGCACTAACTAAACACTGACAGATTTTGAAAATTGTGATTTGTCACTAATCATGATGCACATTTGTCATTTATGTAGTGATCTATGAATTGAAGAGCTAGCAGCAGTGTTTCTACTTTATGCAATTGCTCCCAGTTACACCAGGCTAACTGAAATTGGCACTATGTTGTTGGGGGATCGGTGTGATTATTCAGTGAGATGGCGGTAATTGAAATTTGTGCATGCCCAAGTGGTACAAAGGGAGCATTGCCTCTGTGTGTGTGTGTGTGTGTGCATATGCACATGTGTATCCATGAGTGCGTATGTGTGCATGAAAGTGTGAGAGTGTATTTGTGCGTAAGGTACCCTAAAGACCTCACTATTACCCTGTTTCTTAGAATTGTAGCTCCTCCTGCCCTATTTCTCTCTTAAATGTGCATTTATAATATTAAATTGATTATATATATTTATATTTTTAAATTCCCAATGTGATATAATTGTAAGTTGAAAAATGTGGAATTTCTACAAGTACACTGAATGATAATAGTGAAGGTCTACACCTAGGACCAGAGATGAACTCATTATTTCTAAAAAGGTTTTGTGCAAATGTCCTCTGAACCCAAGCATGTCATTAACGAGCACAACTGATATGCAGAACACATAGCTACCTGGGTATTAATTTTTAGACCTTTCCTGAGTTTAATTTATCTGAGTGATATGCATTAAATAAACATTTAGTGAGCATAAATGTGTTATACTGTGTGACTTGAATCCTGCCTTTCAGTAATGGAGCTGAAATGTACAAAGATGGAACATTTAGTTGGTGATAAGAGTCATAGAAGAGATGTCAATAGAGTTCAGAGATGAGACCAAGAAATGGCTCTTGGATTAAGTGACATTTGAATGGAACCTTGGGAAGTGTGTCTAAAGCCATTATAGATTGCCAGCAACCAATCATTCCAAATCATTTTTTCCCACACAGTATTCCAGTCTCCTGGATGAGACCCCTGCGTCATCTGGTGGCAGGAATAACCACTGGCGAAGATTAAACCTCGAAAACATTCCTAGGACAATGATGATATATGACATAGTTGATTATGCAGAGTCTGGAGTAATCTCAAACCGTTTACAAAAAGAAATGAAGTATCTGTTACAGAGACCACGGACAGAAGAGATGCGTCAGCACCAGCTAAAGATTGTTTCTCAAGTTAGGTAAAAGAGATCCTTCCTCAGGCTTACAATGCTAAAGACAGTTCCAAAAAATGTTCACATTCTGCCAAAGAACTCACTAAAGATAAATAATAGGGCATTTGGGGGAAATAAGGTTGGGGCAGATTGCCCAAAACACATGCAACTTCATAAACACAGCACTAACAAAAAGGACAATTGGTACCTGGGGAGATAACTTGTACCAACGAATAGGCAACTCAGGGTGGCTGGAGGCTGCCACAGCAAATATAAAAATTGTACATTGATAGAGGAGAAATGCTGGTGACTCTTTAATTAGAGCAGGTAGTGTACATGGAAACAGTGCAGATGAAAGTGGAGCCTTAGGCCAGCATGGCTGCCTGTTAAGTGGACATGAGAAGCAGTGCAACCTGGCAAGAACTAAGAGCCATGTAAAGTGGGGAAGAGGATGGAGGGCAGTAAGAGTGGATTGGGGGTGGATAGGTGTGTCTCTCTGGGGAGACAGCTCTGGGTGCAAGTACTAATTTTTGTTTTCACAAATAAAATCAAAAAAGGCTCCTATTGCCTATGCAGCACAGAGCCGAAGGATTTTTTTTTCCTTTTGTGCTGAAGGTTATAATTCTGTTCTTGCTATTCTGGCTCCCCTTGCCTAGGATAAATTGCATATAAATTACAGTGACATTATTCCTTTCTTTACCAATAGCATGTGAACCAGTTCACCTTTTGGAAATGGATGTTGTAGCAGAATAGATGTATTATGATCTGAAACAACATGGACAGAATGTGATTGCTCCAATTACATTCCTTTTTTTCTTTCCATTACTAAGACTCACCTTGTCCATCCTATTTACAAATAAAGCTGACTTTTTTCTAAGATAGAGATGGTAAGACAGAAGAGGACATACTGGCAATCTATTTCCACATACTCATTTGAAATGAAAAATACTCCCTTAGTACATGAAGAAGACACTGATGACCCACTGTAAAGCAAACATGCTGGGTTCTTTTTTTCAGGAGTATAGATGAGTGGTGCTGACCCAATAATATAATTTAACCCATTTATTTTATGATCAAGGCTATACATTTGCCAAGCAGATGGCCTAGTTGGGCATGGTCTATCACTATGAAATACATTTTTTCTAACTCATTCATATAGGCACTGAATATAGAACTTAACCCTAATACCACCAAGGTCAAATAAATAATGTAATTTTCTTTGCCACCATATATAACCAAGACTCCCTGCTATTTGGATTCTTGCTATTGATGATCCAAGGATGAGTCACTTAAGAGCCACATAAGTAGCCAAATTCTAAATCAACTGAAGAGGAAAATATATTTTCATAAAGCCATCGTTGAATGCAGTCTTTATCTGAGATCTCCCAGAAGCAAGCCTTGAGATCAGGATTTGAGTTTGAGTAGTTTATTTGGGAGGTGATCCCAGGAACCACTAATGGAAGAGGATAGAAAAGCGAAACAGAGAAGGGAAGGCAGCCAAAACTGTGTGTTTGCAAGCAAGTTACCACAGTGGGTAACTGGAGTTTAATCCCTCCTGGGAATATCAGAGCCAGTGTAGAACATGCAACTCAGAGCTATCCCACAGGGGCCAGAGTATCATTAGTCATTGCTTTAGCATTGTTTAGAAGGAGAGGTATTAGTTCTTGGGCACTTTCAGTCTTCCCCGAACAGGCTCTTGTTTTCAAAGACAGCTCTTAGATGAAGTGATGCAGATGCTGGCAGGTAGAAACTGAACTGATGTGCCTGCAATGGTAAGGCCAAGGGGGTTGTAGGCAGGGCACCAACTGTGTCTAATCCCAACATCAATTTTAAAAAATAGCTTGTTTTAGCAAGGTGCGGTGGCTCAGGCTTGTAATCCCAGTAGCTCAGGAGGCTGAGGCAGAAGAATCAGGAGTTCAAAGCCAGCTTCAACAACTTAACGAGGCCCTAAGCAACTTAGCAGGACCCTATCTCTAAATAAACATTTAAAAAGGTCTGGGGATGTGGCTCAGTAGTTAAGCACCCCTGGGTTCAATCCCTGGTACCAAAAAAAATAGTTTATTTTTTCACTATTATGAAATATGCTGCTTTTTGGTGTTACTATATGGTGTAAAAGAATATTCAAATGGCTACTGCACAGTACTTTCCAGGAAAGCTTATTTAAATTACTACCTCATGTTACCACTTTCATCATCATCAACATCATCACCTGTACACCTCCATAAGTGCCAGATAAAGTACAGTCCTATGTAAACTCAAGCAGAAATGATGATGGTAAACTAAAAGCTCATATACAAGTAGGTGCACACACCTGTAATCCCAGTGATGTGGGAGGCTGAGGCAGGAAGATTACGAGTTCAAAGCTGGACTCAGCAAATTAGTGAGGCCCTAAGCAACTTGGTGAGACCCTGTCTCAAAATAAAAATGGCTGGATTTGTGACTCAGTGGTAAAGTGCCCTTGGGTTCAATTCTTGGTACAAAAAAAAAATTCACACACAATGCTGCTTTATATACTGAAGTATATGATATATTTGCTAGAGAATGCTGTAATACAATTTGGAACTTGCTTCACATTTTAAATTTTTGAATGCTTTTTCCATCTATAATACAAACATTTTCTAGGTGCCCATCCTTTGCAATTATGCAGCCTTTATTACAGCCCTACCAGCAGCAAAGTGAAATGAAACCTCTAGGTCGTCGATCCAAGCAAGCTCGAATGAAAGTTGAAAAAATGAGAAAAGCTTATAAGATGGCTAAAAACATGAATGCTTCTGAGGTGACCGTAAGTTTAACTTGTACATAATTCATTGTTTTGAACAATATTCAAACTGTCCATAAGTAATTCTACTTGTGTAAGATTTTCCTAATCTACAACTTCAAGGCCAAAACACTTTTGGCATGTTATACCTCAAATAGTATAAAGCAACTTTCATCTTAGTAACACATATTGAAAAATTCTTAAACAATTTTAGTAGCTGTTCTGGAAAACACCAGCTGTTTTGGCTTCACATCAGCATGAGTTGGCAAAAAAAGCTATTGTCTCCGTATGTCGATGCTGTTAAATTCAGCACATCTCGATGGTGATTTTCTCAGAATGGAAGACATTTCTGTCTAAAATGTTGTTGTTGTTTTTGAGAGATAGGGTCTTACTATGTTGCCCAACCTGGCTTCAAGCTTCTGGGCTCAAGCGGTCCTCCATCTCAGGCTCCCAAGTAGTATGAGACTATAGGCATGGCTCTATCTAAACTTATAAAAGGCTTACTGTGTAAAGTCTGCCTCAATATGCTTTCGTATTGTCAGAATATTTATAATGAACAAGTATTCATGTATTATTTGGTAATTTTTAAAAATCTGATATAAATTTTAGGGTGATTAGACTAAGTATAAAGAGTCAAAAAATATAAAGTAGTAAAAGCCAAATATAAAACACTTGCACTTTTATTTATAATTCTGCCTAGGAACTGCAAAAGAATGCAGCAAGTGCAAAGAAACAAGAGACAATCATCATCTCTACCCCTTCTTTTGACATTGTGAAAGTTAATGAATCTACATCAGATAGTGAATTGGAAAAAGAAGAAGAGGAATTATTTGCCTGGTATCAAGACTTACATATTGATTATTCTCCCTCATGTTGATACACAGCTAATTGACAGAAAACCAAAGTAGTTTAACAATCTGCTTGTCTGTCTGTAAATAAAGGACAGTCAAATAGAAACAGGTCCTGGGTCTGCTGTGTTAACCAAATGTGTGACATATTTGTAAGCCTTTTTGTATTAACATGGGTGCAATTATTTTTTATTGACAGGATTTTAATTTAAATAAATTATTTCTACTAAAAGCCTTCAAACTAGCAGAATACAGTTTTATTCAAGAAATGATAAGTAAATTAATCCCTGGGACTTTTATCCAATTTTGATTTTTTTCATTTTAAAAAATATCTGAACAGGCCATGCTTAGCATAAATATTAGAATTCACAAGATAAAAGAATGCTCTTGAGTCAGCCTACAGTGTCTTTTTTTAGTTACATGTTTTTACAGAACAGCTTATGAATGACCTATTCTGAATTATAATAAAAATAATAATGGATTTGTTGCTACAGTAGGCATGACATAGCATACCTAATCATTATTGAGCATTATAAGAACCTGGGGCAGAATGTTGCATCTGCTCTAATATTGTACCTTGGATATCTTTCAAGTATAAAGACTAGAGTAATATTTATCAATTTCATTTTGAATTGATAAATTCACAGTCCTGATACAGTGCAAATTATTAATTTCTTCTGGATCCAGGCTGCTGGAATATATCAAACCTTACTAGAGATTGTGATAATTTTTAAAAGTACAGTTATTTATTGAATTTTTAAAATATAATTTTAAAATTTTGCTTAACATTTCAAATACATGATTGCTGATATAACTCAGACATAGTAATCTACAAAAGGATCTTATCTTCTGCTAAAATATTCTCTTTAATGGCAAAGAATATTGGAGAAAATGTGTATGATTCCCACTAGAATATATTTAACATAAATATGCACTCTTTGTTACTAATACATCTTCATTTGATATCCAAAAAAAGAGGGAAGTTGGGCTTGGTGGTGCACACCTGTAATCCCAGTGACTAGGGAGGTAGAGGCAAGAGGATAGCAAGATTGAGGCTTGCCTGGGCAATTTAATGAGACCTTGTCTCAAAATAAAAAGGGCTGGGGTGTGGCTTAGTAGTAGAGCACCCCTGTGTTCAGTCCCTAGTACCACAAACACACATAGACACACATATTTGATAATCCCCTTGTCTTCAGCTTGTACTGGACACTGGTTGAATAGAAAAACACCTATTTGTCCTCATGAGTCATGCATCTTTTTATTAATTTGCAAAGCAGTTCCTTATCCAGTCAAATGCCTGTCACATTCAATGTACTCATATTCCATGTAATAAGTAACAAAGCTAAGGGAGATTTCAGGTAGTAAGATGAGGAAAAGGACAAAGGAAGGGCACACTCTGTATCTCATGGTACCCACCTCTCATATTTCATTAACTGTAACTTCCTCCTCATGATATCCCACATAAACAATATAACCACGTGACTGAAAATCCTTTGAAAAGCAAAAATGCATATAATCCCAACAATATAATACAAAAATATTTTCATTTGATTATACCTTTTTAATCTGTCTAAATGCCCATATATTTTTCACATGACTATAATCATAGGTAAAGATTTAAGCTTTTCACTTAATATTATATCTTAAACATAATGCACTTAAAAATAAGTTTTAAGGGGGCTGGGATTGTGGCTCAGCGGTAGAGCACTTGCCTAGCATGTGTGGGGCCCTGTTCGATCCTCAGCACCACATAAAAGTAAGTGAATGGAATAAAGGTATTGTGTCCAACTACAACTAAAACAATAAATATTGAAAAAAATAAGTTTTAAGGGTCACCTGGGAGCCCAATGGGTTGATAAAGCAAAATTTACTTAGCCATACCCATTTCATTGGATATTTCAGTTGTTTCTAATTCTTTAATACTGTAGGTAATTAATACTAGGATAGATATTTTCAGTCTTATTTCTTTTGGTTATCTTTCTGTTATTTATATTTTAAAATTTATTTTTCTGTCATTTATTTTTAACCTAATTGCACTGTAATCAGAGAACATGATTTGTATGTTATTCTGGGAAACTCGTTGAGACTTGCTTTATAGCCAAGTACATGATTAGTTTTCATAAATGTTTCCTGTATTCCTAAGAAAAAATGTATGCTGTCTATGTTGGATACAAAGTTCTGTATTTCTCCTTTTGATCAAGCTAGTTAATTGTATTATTTTCTGTATAGTATGCTTTCTGAATATACACACACATAATGTTTTGTTATATACTCCTAATTCTTGGTATGTGTGACACCAATTACTGAGAAAGGTGTACGTTATGTATATCCTACCACAATGGGTAGACTTGTCAGTTTTGCCTCATAATTCTGTGCTATAGTTTTGACCTTTGGTGTCCCCCAAAAGTCCATGTGAGAAAGGTTTCATCTTCGGCTATTGGGAGATGGTAGAACCTTTAACAGGTAGGGCCTAGTGGGAGGTCTTCAGGTCATGGGGGGACATGCCCTTGAATAAGATAATGGGACCCCAGCCCTTTCTTTTTCCTTTATGTTTTCCTTCCTGAACACAAGGTGATCCATTTTACTCTGACACTAGCCATCACCACGATGTGCTGCCAAAGGCCCAAAACAATAGAACTAATTCATTATGTTCAGAAACCTCCAAAACAGTGAGCCAAAAGTAAACTTTTCTCTTCATAAGTTGATGATTCTCAGGTATTTGTTATAGTGATAGAAAACTGACACTTTTTTGTCAATTTTGCTTTATGTTATTTAAAGACAATATTAGGCACATATATAATTTCAGAATTAACATATTTTCCTTGTGAATTAAATATATTATCACTATATAGTTAACTCTCTTTATTCCTAATAACGCATTTTTCCTTGAAGACTGTTTCTCCAATATGAACAGAGCTACTCTAGCTTTCTTTTGGGGGGGGAGGGGCAGATTACTGGGGATTGAACTCAGGGGCACTCAACCACTGAACCACATCCCCAGCCCTGTTTTTTTGTTTGTTTTTTGTGGTTCTGGGGATTGAACCCAGGGCCTTGTGCATGCAAGGGAAGCACTCTACCAACTGAGCTATATCCCCAGTCCCCCGCCCTATTTTTTGTATTTTATTTAGAGACAGGGTCTCACTGAGTTGCCTAGCACCTCACTTTTGCTGAAGCTGGTTTTGAACTCACAATCCTCCTGCCTCAGTCTCCTGAGCCACTGGGATTACAGGCATGCACCACTGTACCACAAACACACATAAGCTTCTAGCTTTCTGTTGCTTAATGTCAGCCTGGCAAATCCATATCCTTTCCTATATTTTTTTGGAAAGGGTTGGTACTATGGATTAAATCCAGCGCCTTGTGCATACTTATAAGCATGTGCTTTAGCACTGAGCTATATACCCAGCCCCTTCATCTTTTTTATTCTCAATGTTTTCATGTGACAGGTCCTGGCTAGATGCTCATTAATTCCATTTCCTCTTCCTAGGAACAAATTTAAAAACACCTGTTTTGTAGTTATGTTGGGACCTTGTGAATGAGTTCTCTTCAAAGAAATGTGGGCAGAAGTGATGTATACCACTTCTAGGCTTAGCCCCTAAAATATTGTACATGGGTATGTGATCTTCTGTTCCTACCTACCCATTCCTCTGTTCACATGGTCTGAGGCAAAGAACTCCAAGGTGGTAGAAGTAGGAGTGAAGAATACTAGATTCCTAAATCACTGATTGAGGAAGAGCAGGAACTTGGCTTGATGAACTGTGATGTGGTCAAAAAATAAACTTTGAAGCTGGGTATGTAGTGGTAGAGAATCTGTCTAGCATTCCTGAGGCCCTGGAATTGATCCCTACCACAAAGAGAGAGAGAGAGAGAGAGAGAGAGAGAGAGAGAGAGAGAGAGAGAGAGAGAGAAACTTTGTTCTGTTAAGCCCAGCAATCTAATGGGTTATTTGTTACAGCAGCTAACATTAATTATTCTGATAAACCGTATCTTGGAATTTTAGACTTTCTCTAGGATACAGCAAGTATCTGGATCATTTTGTTTTAATCCAATCTGTACATGCTTTTCTTTAACTTGTGAATTTACTACATTTAGACTTTATAATGATTTTATTTCATTGTTGATGTATTTGGAATTTTTTTACTATTTTGTTTTGTGCTATTCTTCCTGCATTTCTTTGTTTTTTCCTCTTTTCCTGTTTCCTTTCAGATTATTCTTTTGACTCCACTTTTTTACCTTTACTGTTTTGGAAGTCTTACACTCTCTTTCTATTCTTAAGATATTACTCTTAAATTTTGTCATGTGTACTCAAAGGCTAAAGTTACACTAATGTACAAAATTAGAGCCAGGCACAGTGGTACATGCTTATAATCCCAGCAACTAGGGAGGTAGGAGGATTGAAAGTTCCAGGCCAACTTCAGTAATTTAGTGAGACCCTATCTCAAAATAAAAAGGGCTGGGGATGTAGCTCAGTGGTAGAGAGCCCCAGGGTTCAGTCCCCAGAAGCCCCCCACCAAAATAGAAGGGAGGACATCAGAGGGAGGGAGGAGAGAGAAAGGGGATATTGGGAAATGAGAATGATAATATTGTGTGCATGTACGAATATGTCAAAATGAATCCTGCTATTAAAAGTCTGAAGTTAACAGCTCCACTCTCCTCCCAGAGGCAGGCTGCTAATCACCATCCCCTTGTGACAAGTTATTGTTATAGCTGATATTTTAACATTATCTTGTTTTTAACTTCCAAATTAGATATTATTTTGTAAATCTCAGACTTTCCTTTGGGATCATTTTTCTTTATACTTTCTGTATCATGTATTCTTAGAAGTTTCTTTAATGAGCATCTGTTGGTGATAATTCTTTCAGCTTTGGTTGTCCTTTTCTTAAATATGTAATTTCAGTATGTATCAAATTCTACATCAACAGTGGTTTGAAGTTATTGTTCAGCAATCTGAAGTTATTGTTCCACTGTCTTCTGGTTGCTGCTGCCAAGCCTAATTGTTATTGCCTTTAGACGATGTCTCTTTTCTAACAACCTTTAAGATTTTCTCTTTGTATTTTGTGTTCTTCAGTTAACCATGAATCTCCCACATTGTCTAGCTTCTAGTTTCTCTGCCTCCCTCCTCTCCTTTCTTCCTTCCTTATTTCATGTTGGGGATTGAACCCAGGGCTTTGTGCATGCTAGGCAAGCACTCTAC